TTTGGACTCGCAACTTAAAACGCCAGGTGGCGCTGGAGTCGAGTTATTACAAAAAATCGTATTCATTATCCGATTTAGCTCATATTCGAGATATATTTTGGTAACGGTAGGGGCAATGCTATTGCAAAAAAGGAGCTGCAAGGTGGCGCCGGAGTCGGGTAATTATAAAGTCATTCGGAGACACCAGGCATCAAAGCCAACCACCAGATTTGTAAGGTATTTCGTTTGAAATAATAATAATAATAATATATATATTATTCTGAAACAAGGCGCTTATTCCCAGCGATCTGCAAGTCGTGCAGTGACAAGTTATACATCAAATTAAAGTGCTCGATCTGAAACTTTGCACAAACTTTTTAGATTTAAGATTCATTGAACCATTTTCGAATTATTAATTTTCGAAAGATTTAAAAATTTCTACATTGAGTAAAGCATTGCTACGCCCATTTCGACAGGCAGCGTCTCAGCGGGACATAAGAGAAGGAAAAATGGTTCTGTTTTTGTTTCATATTGTACAAAGCATTGCTACGCTCGTGTGCATGAAGGCAGCGATACAGCGGAAGATCTGCAAAGAAAATGTTCTCTTTGGCTCTGTACATATAAACATACACAACTTTGTTGCATATCCATACATTCATAAACAGTATCAACAACAACATCGCTGCAGAGCTGTGCCCTTTATTTTGGTTTGAGCATTGTTGTGTTCCATTTATTCGTTTTCGCCCCTGTTTTGTTTCATATCGAGCAAAGCATTGCTATGTTCGTGCGAATGTGATACAGCGGAAGATCTGCAAACCAAAAATGTTGGTTTTGCCTCTGTACAAATACCCATATATAAATCTTACATGGTTTATTTCCATGTTTTTTTCTGAAATACAAATATGTATCTATATATTTTTAATCGTACAGAGACAATTTACTTTCAAATTAAGGTTCTGGATCTGAAACTTTGCACAAACATTTCAGATTTAAGAATCATTCGATGTACATATTTGCTCGGAAAGATTTTGAAAATTTTCCATTGAGCAATTTTAAAACGTAAAACTGGATCTCACGCACACATTCTCATTTTCACCAATTTTGAACAATTTCATTTCTTTATTTTCAATTTTGTATGGTTTTAAAATGCTGGAAAACTTAAAATAATCCTGGTGGGCGATATGACGGAACAGTAAAGTATTTTAAGCTCTCGAAAATGTGCGTTTCAGTGAACCTTGTTATTTAAGTTTTTTCTTGTGGGTTACAGAATGGCGAGAACTCTCCCCAGACTCAAAAATTAAGATTAGTGCCACAAGAGATTATTTTTCGAGATTTAGCCGATTGGGTATTTTAACCTCAGCCTGGTGTAATATTATTATTATTATTACTTGAAGGATCGATCCATTTCGCGTCCACAAAATAAGCACAGTATTTACGATAGTTAATAAAGAAATGATTAAAATGTTGTCCGGAGTAGAATTGGGGTCGATATCTACTGTCGTTTCTGAATATCCACAGGAGCAAGTAGAAGTAGGGGAGTTGCACCTCATGACTTGATACTAAAAGTTATTGCAGTTGTGATGCTAATCCACAACTTAAATATGTACATATGAAGGGTTAGTTAATGGTATCGCCTAATAGTTAAAGAATTACAATGTAATTGTTGGGATGCCGCAATACAAATATGTACATATAAAAAATTAGTTAATGGACTTCAAACATGTGATTCGAATTATATTATCCCATATAAATTAACAGCCCAGCGAATCAGCATTTGCTTTTGTATTTAAGTGCCGCCAGTTCAAAATTATTGTAGCGTTCGCGATAACAATAAATAAGTCTCAAGGTCAGACCCTAGCAAGAGGATTTCTTAACGCATGGGTATTGAGTAGGGTATCTTGCCCAAATACCAAGTTAAAGTTAACTACCAAAAGCAATGCATGTTGTTTTTAGAATAAAGAAATATGCAGATTTTTTAGACCACGGAGCACCCCGATTTTCGGGGATTATTACTAGTAATAATAATAATAGAAATAATAGATTGGCGCTTACACAAAGTGCAAGTTTTTGTCCGCGCTTCTCTTCCGATTTGTGGCGTGCGGCTTGATGTTGCCACGCAAAGGGGACGGACCTACAGTTTTACGCCGATTCCGAAGTCGATTGTATTTTAATGAGAAGCTGTTTTTCATGGCAGAAATACACTCGGAGCTTTGCCATTGCCTACCGATGGGCGACCACTGTTAAAAAAATTTTTTTTTTTTTATATTTTTGGGATGTGGCTTGGACCTGGGCCTGAACCCAGGCCCTTCGGAGTGGTAGCGCAACTGCTCATCATTACATCCCAGCGTCTGAAATAAGTCCTTATATAATGGATTTGTGAGAACGAATGACACTTCTCCATATTGAAATTGCCACCAACTGTACTACGCAGATTCAAGGACGATTCACCACCGAACTGGATCATTGTTGCCGCAAGAACTTATTCACGGGCATGCTTTCATTAAGTTATTTGAGACGGCGATGGAGGATATCGCTAGCTTAGAGTGAAAAGTTGCTAAGTCCCAATTTAAAAATTGTACAGGAGAGGAAAAAACTTTTTATGGCAATTTTTTTCAAGTATCTATTTCGCAAAACTTTGAATACAACATTTTGCCTGTTTAAATCAAAGTAAAACTCCATACGAATCAGAGGGATTCGATGGATCCGTGAGTTAAGGTCGCGTGTATTAAGACCGAGATCCAAATGAAATTAGGCCGCAAACCAAAAATGAAATTAGACCGTGCGGGCATTATTCATGTCGCCAAGTGAAATTAGGCCGCGATCCAAAAATTTAATTAGGCCGCGCGGGCATAAGCAAAAAATACCAAAAAGAAAAAAATAATTTCTTTCATAAATAACCCTTTTTTGAATTAAATGCATAATTAATGCTAAGGAAATTTATATTACTTAGAAAGTTCAAGTTATTGCCTTTAATTTGATATACATATATAGAAAACCTTTCTGCGTAGGCGGCCTTCGGCCGCGCTTAGGGTTTATAATCCTCACTAAGTCCAATTCTCCTTTCTGTGTTGCCGAAGAAGAGGGACTGAACACCTTTTGCAGAGAACACTTTTCTGCGTAGCTGGCCTTCGGCCGCGCATAGGGATTATAACGCTCGCTAGGTAGAATTCGCCTTTCTATGTCGCCGAAGAAGAGGGGCTGAACACCTTTTGCAGAGAACACTCTTCTGCGTAGGCGGCCTTCGGCCGCGCATAGGGATTACAATCCTCACTTAGTAGAATTCTCCTTTGTGTGTTACCGAAGAAGAGGGGCTGAACACCTTTTTGCAGAGAAAACCTTGCTGCGTAGGCAGCCTTCGGCCACCTTTTGCAAAGAACACCTATCTGAGTAGGCGGGCTTCGGCCGCGCATAGGGATTATAACCCTCAATAAGTAGAATTCTCCTTTCTGTTAAATTAATTTTAATTTGTTAATTTCTGTTAATTTAATTCTGCCAATCAAAAAGTGAAATTAGGCCGCGCGGGCATAATTCATTTTGCCAATTTTTTGCGATCAAAAAATGAAATTAGGCCGTGAGGGTATAATTCATTTTGCCAAGTGAAATTAGGCGGCGAAAAAAATGAGATTAGACCGCCGAACAAATAAGAATGCGGCCTTAATTCACGCGGTCTAAATTTTATCCCTCGGACTTGATCTTTATGAAAAGATTTCGTACTGTTTTGGCATTGTCGAATTTTCGGAGTTTTTTTTTGAACTTAGCAAATTTTCCTTTTATTGAACATAAACGGAAAACATAAAACAAGGACCGTTACCCTTTTCGAAACAATGCATTTATGCGATGAAAATTATGAGTTTTCATAAAAAGTGGACTTAGCAACTTTTCACTCTAACTAGCGATATGCCTTCTGAGGACCACAAAACTAAACATGAATGTGGATTGTTAGTGAAAATGTTGGACCAAATGTTTCAATAAAAAATTAATTTTGGGCGGGACAAAGCTCGCCAGGTCTGCTAGTTGTAATGATAATTTGAAATAATGCTGTATATTTGTGTAAATGGGGTTCTAACTAAAATAACTCTAACGTATGTATATTGAGCTCCTGGGCGCCTTTATTAAGTGAGGATTTGTGTACGTAAAAAAATAGTCTTATGGGCTGTTTTTGCTTACGTTTTTGCTTACGCATTTAGCTCTAAATGCTACCCTAAATGCACATTTATCCATACAAAATTCGTCACCTAAATGCAACTCCATTTCTGCATTAAGAATCTAAATACTAAAAGCAACCCTGTGATCACCAAAAAATACCACGATTCGAACATGGTTTAATGAGAAAAGTGGCATCATTGCTTTTTCGAGTATACAGTTGCTAGCCGTGTTTCAGTAATCGCCGTTCGAAATTTCATTTACACTATTTGAGTAAAAAAAATAAACGAAATTTAACATGGATGTGATGCTGATAGAAATCTGGATCAATTTGTGATGAACTCTTTGTTTTGTTTCATAATTAATTAAGGCAATTTTAATTGACAGCACCGACAAACGAATATATAACCAAACAAATTTTCGGTTATGGTTAAAACAATTAAAATTTTTGTATAGAATTTTTTGCTTAAAATTGCTTTTTTCATTTTCAGTAGGGTTCTTAGCATATTATCTTTTCTGTGCAAATTGATCGTGATAGATGCGGATCCGAGTAATCGACTGGAACGCGGCAAAAGCATATGATTTCGAGCTCGCGTAAATGTACATTTGCTAAATGCGATATCATGAACGCTCTTCGAAAACATAAGTTCAAAAGTGCTAAATATTGCATTTTAAATGCAGCAAAAACGCTACATTATTGCCTTATTATGTTTCACGAACGATAGGCAACACGAATGATTCGTCTGCAGACGACAACGTCTCTGATTGCGATTTCATTACTCCATCGGTCGTCTTTGTCTTGCTTTTCATCGATTACGTTACAATCGTCTCGGTTGCGCTTAAACCAGCATGAATGATGCCGCTGGACTAATATTTGGAGCATTACTCAAAAAATTTTATAGTTTTATTCTAATATCACTAGAAATGGCAATGATACTATTAATATACATTATCAATTTAAATTTATTAATGTCGTCCTCTTAACTACTGCTTTGCGGGTAAATATTCACGTGATGGCACTTTTATTGGCGTTTCGAATTGTTGTCTAAAAATAAAATAAGACACTTTAAATCATTTTCCTTGAAAAATTAATAAAAACTTACATTGGAGTACTATAACTGTAGCCATCACTGTCCGACGAATAACTAAAATCGTCACCGATTTGTGCACTTCCTCTCAAAGCATTCGGATCGACTTCCAAATTGAGATTTTGGTTTAAAAATTGAAATCTGTTTTTCAATCCTCCTAAAAAATCTTTATTACTAATGTCGATTTGCTTCTGATTTGTCGAAGATGCATCCACAGGTTGGGGGCTAAAATGAAATATTGTACATTCAATAAATAAAGTTTATTTATTTAAACGAACTAAACTTATAATTAAAATTACAAGCTAGTATCTTTTAGCGATAGCAACTCAGTCCTTACGCTACAGATTTGATTGAATACTTTCTGTGCAGTTAGATTTGGTGGTATAAGTTAGTGCGGTCAACTGAGGACAGAAGGGACAGTACTTTTGAAAATTTACTTTCTTATGTGGTTAACGTTAGTGCATTAAGTTATTTAAGAGATGTTCGATGTTCTTTTTTTGCAACGGAGGGGGAATTTTCCAAAGATGTTAGGTACGATTCATCATCCTGTCCGCTAAGGGTACACCTCATTCCGGACCACGCCCAGACTATGCTATCGCATAATTCAGGACTTGCGCGACAGCGCGCCTACGTACTAAACCCTTTACTCCGACGTCTAAAGCTTGTATTTAGCCTTGCAGAACCGCCGTTAGGTATTACGTCGCAAGGCGTAGCGTTCCCAAGTGGCTCTTCACACACGCCTTTCGGGCCTACCTCTCGTTCCGTCTTCTATTATCGGTACTGAGCTTCCACTATTTCCTTCTTAGTTCTTGAAGAACTATAGCGGACCACGCTTTGACTCTAGTCCACACCATTCTAGATTGCATCGTGTGGCGCGCAATATTTTCTGGCGTCACTCGATCATTTATAAGCTTTTCTAGGTCTGTTCTGTCGGCGTCATACTTCGGGCAGGAAAAGAAAATGTGCTGCACATTTTCACAGCTACTACCGCAGAAAGAACACTTTGTCCCATCATCGTGTCCGTATTTGTTCAGATATTCTCTAAAACAGCCGTGACCCGTCAGAAACTGCGTTATATAGTAATCAGTCTCGCCGTGCTTCCTTTCAACACACGCTTGAACGTTACGGATTAGCCTGTGCGTCCACCTTCCTTTCATCGTCGCATCCCAGCATCTCTACCACTCGTTTAAGCTAGTCTGTCTTTCTTCTTTCCGTTCTTTAACTCTTTTCGCCTGCCGATGTTTCTTGACTTGTCGAAAATTATCTTAAGTTCGGAACGCATTGATAACCCTGATAGCGTTTAACCAGATCACTGACTTCGCTGTCTTGGCATATGTATTCTGCAGAAGCGCTGTCCCCCAGATTGGCGCAGCATACATTAGTATAGACTGACTCACTTTACCCAGGAGTGCTCGCCTGCTCTGACTTGGTCCGCCAATGTTGGCCATTATCCACGTTAGCGCCGCCGTAACCCTTGCCGTTTATGCACAAGCTTTTCCGATGTGCGTCTTTTAGTTGAGCCTCGCGCCTATCATCACGCCCAAGTACTTCAACGACTGCTAGCATTTTCTATATTTTTCCTGCTTGTAATCAACACCACATCAGTTGTTTGCCCGCTAGTTGAGGCTTTGTTGCCGTGAGCCAGTTTTTGATTTTTTGCGCGGTATTATTGCATAGAATCTCTATTTTGTTGAATTCCTTAGCCATTACTGTTACTATGATATCGTCAGCGTACCCGATGATTTGTACCTCCCTTGGTAGTGGTAGGCACAGAACTCCATCGTAGAGTACGTTCCACAGCAGTGGTCCCAACACGGAGCCCTGTCGAACTCCACCCGCCACAACTTACTTTTTGGTCCTTCAGCGGTGTCGTAGAGAAGGAGCCTATTTGACAAGTAGTTGGAAACAACTCTCAGCAGATAGGGAGGTGTTTTCTTGCACTCCAAGCGCTCATTATGTGGGGCTAGTAGGTCGAGTCGAAAGCATTTTTAACATCGAACGTTACTACCGCGCAGTATACTTTCGTGCCATACATCCATCTAGTTCCTTCCATTGCTTTGCTTGTGATATCAGTGAGCTTCTTAATTGCTTCGATGGTTGACCTCTATCTTCGGAATCCATATTTGTTATCGGCGAGGCCCTAGGATTCTTCATATAGGTGTTGCTCTAGTCGTACACAAATAAGTCACTCCTGTATTTTTCCAAGCGTGTTCAACATGCTAAGCGGTCGGTACGAGCTTGGTTTCCCGGCAGGTTTATTCGGTTTCAGCAACAACTTGCTTCTTCCAGATTTTTGGGAAGACTCCTTCTCGCAAACACCGCTCAAATAAGTCTGTGAACGGGCTGGTATTGTGCTTAATGGCAACCTTTAGCACTTTGCTTGGAATTCCATCCATGCTTTGGCATTGCCAAACCTTTCCGTCGCTTGGAATACTTCCTCACCAGTGACTAACGGTGCGCCCATTACCGCAGGTTGTTCTACTAGCAGCTGTCGTTCTTATAGTTTGCGCAGGGAAGAGAGTTTCCACAACACTTTTTTAGTAGGATGGGGCAGGTTGCCGCTTACCCTTTATCGCCTTTAATTTGCCTCATCACCAGTTTGTACGCAACAACCCACGGATTATCATCTCCTGTGGCAAATCCGTCTCGCTTTGTGGCATTCCGTTCTTAAGATGTCAATTTGCTCGTTCCACAAGTATGCAGGCTTTCTGTAAGCGCCTTATTTTTTCCTGCACATAGCGGCGTCACATGCTTTGCTGATGTGTCCCACCAGAACTTCCGCCTGTCATTCCGTATCTGCTGCGCTGGCCGTGTTCTCCTCAATCATCGGTCTGAAGAGTTCTTCGTCAAGTGTTTGGACTTTCCACCCTCTAGTTTGTACCTTTCTGGGCTAAGCGATGGGTGGAATTGGAGGCGAAGGTCGGCAGCCTAAATGAGGCAATAACGAATGCCTATACATCAAGCTGTCGGCTGACTTCACCAAAAGGACAGAATAGAAACCCATGGTGGAACTCCAACCTCTCAGGTCACCGGAAAGAGGTCAGAAAACTCTTTAACCTTGCGAAACGTACTGGGAATTGGGATGACTATTTGTCAGCCCTAACCACCTATAATAAAGCGATTCGCGAAGCCAAGAGAAACAGTTTTAGAATGTTCTGTGAAGGCATCAACCTCCACCCCGGAGGCTGCCAGATTGCACAGAGCACTAGCTAGAGGTACAGGTGAAAACCATATGGCGATAAAACTACCAGATGGCAGCTACACCAAAAGTGAGGAAGAGAGGGCCCTGGCCCTCCTGACAACACACTTCCCAGGAGCATTGACTCCGGTAGCAGAGGATAGTGATGAATATCATAAGCCGGCATCAGAGGACTGGAAGACGGCAAAATGCCTGTTCACCTGGTCGACCGTACGTTGGGCCATCGATTCGTTTGAGCTCTATAAGACCCCTGGGGTGGACGGCTTATGGCCGATTTTACTCCAGAAAGAACTGGATCTGCTTACCCCGATTATAATCAAAATCATGCGGGAAAGCCTGGCACTAGCGTATCTCCCAAAGTCGTCGAGGAGAGCCTGTGTCAAATTCATTCCTGAGATAGGCAAGAAAGACTACTCGCTGGCGAAATCTTTTCGCCCGATTAGTCTAACATCATTCCTTCTTAAGGCAATGGAGAAGATCATAGACAACCACATAAGGTCCACCAACCTGACGTCATTGCCGTTACATCATGGGCAACACGCCTATCGTGCAGGTAGGTCGACGGATACAGCGCTGTTCCAGCTGTCAACTACCATACGGAATGCACTTGAGGGGGGGGAGGTAACACTCTGTTCGTTTTTAGACATTGAAGGAGCCTTTGATAATACCTCACACGAGGCAGTAGATCGAGCTCTAGAGAGAAGGAACGTAGACATCCCGATTCGAAGATGGATCAGTACAATGCTGCGAACAAAACTGGCAGAGACCGTAGCTGACAATAAAATCATACAGTTGATGACGGTAAAAGGCTGCCCGCAGGGGGGCGTACTGTCTCCCCTGCTTTGGAGTATACTAGTAGACGAACTACTTGAGTTACTATCCAACAACGGCATTTTGTGCCAAGGATATGCGGACGACATAGTAATTATAGCGAGGGGCAAATTTGAAAGCACCCTCTGCGACATTGTACAAAGAGCACTTATCCTAACTAAAAGATGGTGTGGCACGGTGGGCCTTAACATAAACCCCGCCAAAACAGCCGTTATTACTTTTACTAGGAGAAGAAACCTTCCAGGCATGCACCCTATAACATTAGGAGGCATAGAGATAGAAATATGTAGCAAGTAAAGTATCTAGGAGTCATCTTCGACAGCAAAATGCTATGGAATAAGCACTTGAGTACGCTGTAACAAAAGCCACATGAGCTTTAATGGTGTGCAGGAGACTGGCCGGCAAATCTTGGGGGTGCAGCCCCTACATCCTACGATAGATGTACACAATGATTGTCAGGCCAATAGTTACATATGGAGCAGTGGCATGGTCCGAGCGGGCTGCCCTCAACACGATAAGGGCGTCGCTTTCCAAGCTGCAGCGACTGGCGTGCACCTGTATAACAGGTGCCATGCGCACCTGTCCCACTGCAGCCCTGGAGGTAATCCTGGACCTGTCGCCACTGCACATAGTCACAGAACAAACCGCCAAAAAAGCCCTCCTAAATTTCATGAGGGAGGGCACTGGAAAAGGCAAGGTGGCCTCGAGCAGACTCGGAGAGGAAATCAAAAGCAAGATTCTTATCTCCCAGCTCAATAGAGACGACATGGTTAGGCTAAGAACCTTCGAGAAAAAGTTTAGGAACCGAACTAGGGAGCAAGGCAACCTGGAGCGAGACAATGTTAGATAACACCTTTCGGCCCCATACCCAAAGGTGGTTCACGGATGGCTCCAAAACCGACGAAGGGATAGGGGCAGGAATACATGGCCCCCAAGCCAATATCTCCATTCCCCTGGGGAACTATCCCACACATTGTCATATGCAGCGACAGTCAGGCTGCACTGAGAGACGTATTGTCGTGTGAAATTAATTCACGGTTGGTATGGGAATGTGTAAAGAGACTAAACGCCCTGGGGGAACTCAACACAGTACAGCTGATGTGGGTCCCGGGCCATAAAGGCGTACAGGGCAACGAGGATGCTGACAAGCTCGCTAGGGAAGCAGCAGCCACTCGACCCATAGGACCAGAACCCT